GTACTGGATCTATAGAGAAGGAACACAGGAGGCATCTCCACCCAGCACCACCCATGCCAAAGTACAAAAGCAATGAGGGAGCAACACAACAACCTCTTGAGATTAGGCAGTCTTCTCAGTTCAAGAAATCCAGAAGTTCCCCTCCCCGTTCCGTAATAAAAGGATCACTGCACTAGGCTGGGCCAAAAGCTCATTTTATTCTTCAACAGTTTAGCAACAAGCCCACTCCAGCCCAATCCATCTAGCACATCCTGTAACTCATCTATGCAGCCCCACACCTAAGGGGTTACTTCAAATCTCTTTAACAACATCTGGAAGCAGTCCTCCAACTCCAATGCAACACTTTGCAGAAGCAGAGCCTTGTGAACTCCAGTTTGCAGGGGAAGATGAACACTCCCCAGAGGTTTCAGCTCATTAAAAGGAAAATGGGTTTTTATATGCAGACCAGCACACATAGATAAGCAGGTACAACCTCTTGTGACAATGCCATAATCCTGTTCCAATTACTTTCACAAAGCTACAAACATTTCTGAGCTTGCTGTTCAAGTGCCTTTAGTACCATCTTCACTCCTGACTAGTGGCAGCTTGTTACCAGCAGTGTTTTAGCAGTCCTCATCTAGACACAGATCCCCAGGTTTAGCAAAGCCTTGACGGACTCAGCCACAAAAGCTGAAGACTCAACAGTCTCCAGTTTCCTGCCTTGCCCTACCACTTGTTTCTTCCTTATCACCCGTATCAGCATGCTGAGGTCATATCCACAGCTTCACACACCACACACCAGCTATTCCAGCAGTCTTTGCAGTAACAGCCCAGGCTGAAGTTTGCCAGAGTCCCACAGCAAATGTACTTCCTGCTCTGCCATCCCCACTGCAGAATCTCTTCAGCTGGCAGCATGAACAGGAAGTGGTAACTACTTGTGGTACTTCAGTTAAACATAAGGGCTGGAGAAGCAGCATCTGACATGGGTTGCACAGATGAAAAACATTCCACGTATTCTAAAAAAAAAAGTGCCTCAGCTGCACTGGGAACCAGTAAAGGAGTCATAAGGGACAGAAGCAGGAAAGGAATTGGGACAAGGTGATAAAGAAGCAAACTTCCTTCTATCTCACTGCCATGACTTTTCCTGTAATAGTAGGGAAAAACCCAAACTCTTAATCCCTACCTTCTGAAGACCAAAATTTGCTAAGTGGTAAAATTCCCCTCCCACACCTCTAAATTCTTCTTCATTAATCTATTCCCCTCAGATTTTGTTCCTGTGCATTGTTTTTTTCAGAGAAGGGGGAAAGGTCAGACTAAACAAACCGTATTTCAGAGTTTAACAACAAAATGTACAGAAAATTTTATTTTATATATTTAGAAGAAATAAGGAAACCAAATATGCTTCTCAACTCCTTTCAAAGTTGCATGCATCCATAAGATGGCCACTGAAAAGACTTCAGACTTTTTCTGAGCACATGAAATCAAAAGCAGGAGTATCCAATGGAATATATCAAGAATCATGCTGAGATGCTCACTTTCCTTGATTAAGGGAAATGAAAGACTTTTTTACCTTAGCCTGCCATCCCTGTCCTCTCAATACTCTGTCAGCCTCTCAAAACCCTCACAAGCAGCATGTCTCTGCATTTAATGAAATATTTATTCTGATTTGTTGTTTTCTTGAGTTATTTGAAGTTAAATGCTATAGAAGGCACAAACATCCTGTCTAAGCACAGTGAAAGATGTGAAGCTGATCTCTGTCTCTCAAACTGAGGGCAGCCATCATTCCCAAATGCAAGGGTCAAAAATGAAAATGGGGCATAGAGATGAATCTCAAGCCTATCCAACAGAACAAAAAGTATAATGGGAGTCCTAGCTCACAGACACATATTAATCAGTAAAATATCGCAGTCATTTCTCATAGTACAGCACTGAATTTAAGTTTACTCACATGCAGGTCCTTTGGATTTGCTCAGCCAACCTAGGACAGACAAAAGGAAAATTCATGATTATTATTATGCTATCATGGTTTAAACCAGCAGTTAGCTAAACATCACAAAGCTTTAATTCATTCTTCAGCCACTAGAACTCATTAAAATTAAATACTTATGTGGCTTCTTGAGATCCTTGTTACTCCCTTCAAGGCATTTACTTAAGTAACACTGCCTGGGTCAGAGTGTGTATCAATGTGAATATTACTATCATTATATGAATAGTCTAATTCTGAGCCTATCTGTATCTGCTTTGTAGCCACCTTTGAAGCCTGGCCATTATTCTGCAGCTCCTCACCATGCTCTTCCATACCACTCTGTTCATTTTCATCTCTACAAAGGGACTGTGAAGAGGAATTACTCCTGAAAACTCTCCCCTTTCTCACCACAAAGGAGGCCACACTGCTTTGGGCTGATGCTGTAATTTCTCCAAACCCATGATTACATGAAGCATACAGGTTAGAATCAAGATCATCTGTACATGTATGACACTTTACATATTCCTATCTGGCAATCCAGTGCTAGAGCATCCTTGTTTTCATGGCAATTGAATTCACCCCTAGCTGTATAAACGCCTTCCTTTCAGCTGCATTATCAGATACAAAGGAAACCTCTGCTTTGCAGCGATTCCCAAAGAATAGGAACAAGTCTCAATCTACTCAATGAGTGGAGTGCTCTAACAAGCTGCTCTGTACAATGCAAACAAATAGCAGCAGTATCCAACGCTTCTGTGCAGAATAACCTTGGCACTGAAAAGGCCTTAGAACAGCAAGCAGCAGATTGGCTGCATTTGCATCACAGACAACACACAGGAATGAAGTAGTTTCAGCTTATTCAAGCTCAATTTATCACTTTAATGGCAATCCTAAAAATTAAAGAGCTAACTTTATAGCATTTTGCACATGCAGTCAACAAAAATCAGACTGTGTCTAAATCTAAATGGACTTAGATTTTTCTTTATGGGTATTGATATTTGCTTAATTTGGGATGTTTAATACTTTTACCAACACATTTACTTGCATTCCTCAGGATCATGTGATGCTATTATCGATAATGAAAGGCCGAACCTGTTTTGATAGATTTCTGAGAGAGCCAGTAATGAATCCAAAAGAGATTACACATTTGGAACATAAATCATAGGAAGCTTTCAGAGTATTTTACAGACTGCATGTTAAATTTTAATGAACAACTTAATCTGATCAACTGTCATTCTTCCAAAAATAGCCTGGCCAGGCAGGAGGACCATTGTGAATGAGATATAAATACAAGGCCTTAAGGGACAGAGATGGGAGGGAGAGGGGGGAAAATTACAAAAGTCACAGTAACAAAGAAAAAAAAAAGGAGAAGCATTATGTGTGGAAATGCAGATAAAAAAGTTGTCATTGCTCCTCTCCAATGCTTCAAAAATTCCCCACTTCTATCTACTAAGCATCCTGGCTCTTAGCTATATTCCTGTTGAACCCTCAAAGAAACAGAAAAGACAGATGAAGAACTAAGCCTCAGTATTACTGAGGAACTTTCCAAGTCTCCTTGCCTGCTCGTTCCTTCACTACTTCCCACAACTAATCTTGGAGAATTTGCCAGATGAGGAAAAACAGTATAACAGTGATAAAGCTCTAAAAATATTCCCGAGCTCTGCTCAAGTTTCCATAAATTCTCCTCCTCTGACACAGCTTCTCTGCTTGCCCATTACCAAATGCTGCATTTGTTTTAGGCTAAAATGTGTGCAGTGGTTGTTTTCATATTCATGGGTATCTTCCCATGAAAAGGGAACAGCTTCCCCAAATTCTGCAGTACACTTAGTGAATTAAGCAACTCATATTCATCTCATGGCACTCGAGGATATTTGGATAGATTGCTTGAGACAAAGTGCTGAGGATTTTTCTTAAAAATCCATGCATAAATAACATTGATTTATTACCAGAGGACAGAGCAGATGCTTGCTGACTGAAAATGAGTCTGCTCTCTGCATTAACCACATGGCAAAGAGAACATCTTCCTGCCCAGATCATGAATATATCTCTAAGCTTCCTGGAACTTAAAGCAACAGAATTTCTAAGCAGCAAAATGACTGCAATACAATATACCTCATATGGTTTTATACATATGAATCACAAGCTCTGCTTTCTCACTCAAGGCTGAGCCAGGCATTGTCTCCATGCTTGTCTTTTTATGAGAACATTCTTCAGCTTTGTAGCAATTTTGAGCTTGTCACACTGGCTCCACATTCAAAATAAGCATTACCACCACGAGATTTAATACAGTCTCCTGCTTCATGTTAACATCATTTTGCTCTGCTTGCTCTGAATGACTTTGCTATGCAAAGTAATAAAATGAGGATGGCGAGGCAGTTGGGGGGACAAAGATAAGGCAAAGATGATTTTCCAAGCGCCTCACCAGTACTCTTTGTTTCTCCATCTGCTCTCTGCTCCTCAGCTGACTTGCTCATTAATGTTATTCATGGCTGGCACGCTGCTGCAGGTGCAGCTCCCGGGCCCATGATGCATCACTGAGCACCCCCATCCCTCCCAGCAATTGGCTTTTGGGTTGCTACATCCCAATCTCAGAAAAACTTCCATGGAAGTGCTCCTCAGCGAGCCCTTCCCCAGGACTTCATCCCCTTGTGTCTTGACCTCTGCTATGATCCTGGCTCCCCTCCGTTTTCTCACTTCCCCTGCAGGAAATGGTTCCTGCCTAGCCACTATAATCCTGTTTAGCTGATGATCTGCCTGGATCAGTTCATCACAACTGGTTTCAGATCCTGAAGCAAAAAGAACACAGAAAGGGAAACACAATGCAGAATCACTCTCGAGTCTCCTGGCATGCCTAACTAGTGCTTTTGTAATGTGACTGGATGTCTCAAAATTATATTAGAAAGGATTGCCAGCATTGTGGCAGCTTTTCCCCATCCAGCAGCACAAGGCATTTGCATACTGACTACAGTCTCAGTTGAACGTGCAGCAGTGCCTCACAGGGGGTTTCAGATGGTGATGGTGCCCCAGGCTGGGAGGTGTATCTGACAGGCCTACATCTGAAATGAGGCAGTGACACTATCACCAGCAACAGCAACGCTGGGAAAAAAACCATGGACACCCCAGATCCAAAAAGATCTTGTCCCTTCCCCACTGTCACTAATTATTCATGACAATTTGTCATGCTCTCAAGGGTGTCTTCCCCACCCCCTCATTACCTACAAGGCCAAAATCAGGTCAGGAAGACCTGAGATACCCGATTTCAGCAGTCTCTCCCTTCCAACTCAAAGAGCCAGGAACAGTAAAAGGAAATCAACTCCTCCTCCAGAAGTTTTCAGAACCAGCAGACTTCACCATACAGGATCACCTCAACTTTGAGTGCCATCTGGCAGCTAATATTTATTCTGCTCTACCACACTGATTCCTGGAGGAATGTTGGCCACATGACATTCTCAGGTGCCATGATATGACAAATAAATAGGACTTTTTACACATTTGTCAAGAACTGAGGTTTTCTTTACATGGGCAAGCTAATGATCTACGTTACAACAGCTGCTCAAGTCAAATCTGTCTTTTTGGGATTAATTCCTTCAAAGTTCTTGCAAGAGCAAAGTTCCTCCTTCCATCTCATGTCTCCTATGACCAGACATCTCTCTACAGACAAAAACTAGGTCATGGCTGGTCTGAGAAAGGTATACCCAGGGTATACTGGGTAATCAAGCACATATTTCAGATCATGTACAACTTTCTGAGTATCCAGTACATTTCCTTCTTCCACTCATTTCTAAAAGGCAGATCTCCCATCTCTGATGACATTTTTCATATCATCCCATTCCACTGCTATTTACACTATTCACAACACTCATCCATGAAATATCAAGAGATGAGGGGAGAGGGGAAACAAGCTGAAGAGAGGATCCAGAAGAGGGGCACAGGTAGAAGGTGTTAAGGTGTCAAAGACAGCATACAAGGAAACACTGAACAGATTCATTCTGGACAAATGAGCTGGACACAATCTCTGCTTCTACCCTTTGACATGAGCAGTTGCTACAGGGCACACAGATAACATTGTATACACAAGAATGTCACTCAACAAAAACGTGGTCCGTGCTCAGGAGATGCCCCAAGTGTCCCCAGCTGCAATGAAGGGATGAGAATGGAGGGGAAAATACCTATGGGAATCAAAAGTACAGGACTGAAAGACAAGCAGTTATTGACAAATATGCAAGACTCATTCTGTCCAGACACTTAATGCTCTGCTCAACAAGTAGTGATGGAATTTTTCCTCTGAGTACTGAAAGATGTGTACAAATACATCAATCATTGCCAGTTTTCACCTAAAAATATACAGCTACTTCCAAACTTATATACCTCCCCCTCCCTGTAGCATATATAAAGGTTTCACTTACCTGTGGATTGTACTTCCAAGATAAAGGAACCAAAGATAACTAGCAGATGAAATAACCCATGGCCAGTCAAGGCAAGAGATGATCCTGTGTTGCTCTTTGATGCTACCATTCCATGGCACATCTTTTACCCACCAAGGTTTCTTTTTTAAAAATTTCTGAACGATCTGGTTGATCAGAAGCACCTTGGTCTAAAAAACAAAAAACAGAAAGCAAGAAAAGCTGTTGAGCCAAACACCTACAACATCTGGAGAGGGAAAAAGCAAAGTCAGAAACAAAGAAACATGTTCTAGCACTTAGGAATCTAAGTATTCACAGTTCTCAAGGTAAGAGGAGCAACAAAAGCAATCTTCTATACAGGAAAGACAAAAAGGAGCTGTATTAGAAAGAGACCATAACTTTTCACTCACTGTCTGATGTTTCAAATGTGAAGACTGCCTAGCTCACAATTAATTTTAGCTTTTCAAGACAGCCCCAGAGGACATAGCATCTGGAGGATTTGTTTCAAAAATTCTTCAAGAGAGCCAGTTTTTCTACACCCCCACCACTTTTCAGAAGGTCTCTGAGACACAGCAGACTGTACCAGATAGGATAAATCAATCAAATGCTTCTTCAGCCACCTGGAGAGGCACAGCAATCCTGACAGCCAGCCAGCAGGCAAACACATGCTTACAAGAAGGAATGTAAAACAACTTGCAAACCTCAGGTATAGTGATCTGACAGGACAGAGCACAGCAATTAAAATTGCAGGATGTGACACTGCTCATTCCTGAGGACTGAGGGATTCACCCACAGCCTATAAGGCACTGTCACAGCAAAAACAGCCTCATACACAAACACACAAAGCACAGCTGGGAAATAGAGAAAGCACAAAGCTGAACCCTTACTTTTAATGAAGACCCGGCAGAACATATTTCACCAACCTACTATAGTTTTAACCTGCGAGGCCTCCAATGGTAAACACACCAACAAACAAAAAAAACTAAACAACCAACCAAAAAACATTCTGGAAAACCAAATCAACCAATAAAATAAAAACAACAACAAAAAAAACCCCCACATGGAAACACATTTCAACACTTGTATGTATCCTGCTATTCATTACACATCTGAAGCTCTCACATGAAAACAAATTTGCCAAAATTAATGATTTTTTTTCCACCTGAAAACAGGAATATTTTAATTCTGAGGAAAACCCCATTCAGTAACAGCTTCTCCAGTTGAATATGCAGACTGAAGGGGGATTAGGTTTTTTTATTTGGCCAAGTTTCCCACAGAAATACAAAACTGCTGGAAAATCTCAAAGAGATCTGAGAAGTGCAGAGGCAGGTATTGCACTCTTCTGTACCTTGTGAAGACAAAGAGCACATCTGGGTTAGCACTCCTGCTACTGGGAAGGCAGAACCTTCAGATCCTTAAGTACTTCCAAGATTAAAGCAATACACCCGCATTGACTAGAGAAACACACGACTCAAACAGCCTCAGCTCACATTTCTGAGTACTTAAGCAAAACAGTAGATGCATTATGGGAGGGAATATGTAGGTTTGTCAGTAAGCCTGGTAGTCATTCTAGTGAAAAGAGAAGATTTTTCCTGAGTTCCATGTCACAACTATGCTCATATATACTTCACAAAAGGGCTATCTTTAAAATTTGGTTCTTTTTAGTCTCTCTCAAAGAAAAATTCTTTGTCTGCATACACCCTGCCTTGAAATGTCATTTCAAGATGACATTTAAAGTCTCCTGTGTATTGGAGCTGCTGCTACAATAAACTCTGTGTCTACCCCTTTTGCTTCTTGCTTCATTTGGAGGGGGAGGGAGAGGAGTGACTCTCTCCCACTAAGCCTGTAGCACACCCTATAGATTTCTCATGTATTCTATGGATAAGAAGCCAATGCTTTGTTCAGCAAACTTCCACCATGCAGAATGGGATAAGGATAGTTTCACTTACCTGCTAGAATAATTAGACCATGGAATGAAAATGAAAAAAATACTCCATGTGAAGAAAGTCTAGGCAGTTACTCTATACATCTCACCTGTCCTCTCAAGTCAGACCTCCTGCATGGCATCTAAGCTCATATTTAATTGGAAGAGGCCAGCCTATACTCTAGGCCAACAGATGGCTGCTCTCCTCCAAGAGAACTACAGCTCTGAAAAAGCAATGCACCATCTTCAACAAATGCCCTTCTGATTAGACCAGGACAGCTCTGTCCTCCCTATTCCAATTTAATGAAGCCTCATTAGCATAAGAATCTCTGAAAGTATTGCCAAGGTATCTTTTAAAGGTGGCCCACCCTGTCCCTGGAACAATGCATGTCAGGTGACAGAGCAGCAGCCAGGAGAGGTAGGAAGAGGGCATGCAATTATAACAAAATTTGCTGAGCCACCTGAGGTGTGCTACCTTTCCCCAGAGGCTTTTTCCTCCCCCAAAGACTGCATCTGGAAGTCAGCAGCCCAGTTCTGGTCTCTGAACAGCAAACAAGTTAGAAATACCTAAAACAAGGGGAATACTTAATCTTCAGGGGGAATAAATTATTATTTATTCTTGATCCACTAACAGATTGCTTCAAAGCACAGCACTGTTTCTCTCCTTTCTTTTAAAATTAGACATCGTTTCCACACCTCTTTTCATCTACCAAGTCAACTTGAATACCAGGTTACAAATATCTTGTCTATCACATGCCCAGGGCTGCCACTCCAGGAATGCTGTAAATTAATGCTGCTATGCCTACAGAAACATTCCACTAAGCTGGTTTAGTTCAGTGTGGATTTAAAGGCGGCACAAGGGTAGCCAGCCCATTCAGTGGGTGACAGCATAGACAAACCCCTCAGGATTGTTATGAGACGAGGGGTACAGGTACTGTTTGCAAGGATCCTCCCTCTGGGCTTCAGTCAAGTTACAAAACTTGCTTCCAGCCTTCACTGTTCCCTGGCAAAGTTAGGAGAGAGAGATTCCGAGTAGATAAGAAACTATCCCTTTTTCCCAGAGGAGAGCTCATTTGGAGACTATTTAGACAGACATTCAATTCTCTAAAAATTGTCTTGCTTTAACACACTCCTTATACCTACAGCTCAGGGGGAAGCAGCTGTCATAGAACTCCTCAGGCCTCCACTGCTCAAAGTTAGCTGGAGTGCAGTGTAGATCACACACATTTGTCAGACATACTCCCTGGGGCATAGCTTAACAATTCAGGGGTTTGGGAGAATCAAAGTGTACACAAAGCACTGAGGAATGGGTTGGTTTCTTTAATGGGTACTAAGAACAATAAGGCAGAAACTGACAGTAGCACAAATATGAAGAGCAAGGACATTTCAGATCCATTTTGCATGCCACAGCCTAGGCTGAAGGGTTATGTAAGGATTACGTTTAAACAAAGATGTTTTCAAAGATAATATTTAGTACAGCCAGCAGTGCCCATAAATACAGTAAGGAGTGGAGGAGATTTTTCTCTGTTAAAAGTGTATCAGTCAATAAAGGTGGAGGGTTTTTTGCCTTCTTTACAATGTGAACCTTGAAAAACACCTACTAAATATGGATAAGACAATAAACCATCCTCTATATCCACAAAGTCAATATCCACACATCTTTTTAGGGAATGCAATGAACAAGTGAAAAAGTACCCATTGCTCCCAGCTTACAGACACCTCCAGCTCTTTCTTCCAAGTCTTGGCATCAAGCAAGCTTCCCAGTGATGCTTCAGCAAGAGTCCCCTTGCTGCATGGCCATCCCTGCTTGCACAGGGAACAGTGGTTTGCT